TATCATGGCAAGAATTAAATATGTCTTGTGAAATTTCACTCTTCCTGCAAGGATCTAGCTCTTCAAAGGACTATATGCGTCTAGCAGTCGAGCTACGAGATCTTACTCTCTCTCTACTCTCTCTCTACTACTCTCTCTTCCACTATCTCTTCCATATCTCCTCTCTATCTCTACTCTACCTCTCTGCTCTCTCTCTCTCTCGCTCTCTTCTCTCTCTCTCTCTATATCTCCTCGCTCTCTCTCCTTCTCTCTCTCTCTTCTTCCATCCCCTCTGTCTCCCTCCTCTCACTTTCCTCCTCACACTCTCGTCTCTCTCGGGAGGATGAGTTAAAAGCATATTACTAGGGCTACTTGAGAGCTGAGGCTTCTTGCTGAATGTTAAACAGGCTTATCAAATGACACTCTGCATAGCATCACAGGGTCCTAGACACCACTGGTCTGAAGTAGATATAGGCAGGTTCATCACTGTCTAGTGCTGAGTGATTAACAAAACTTTTGGTAATTTTTCGGTTTTTAAACAACTAATTGATCAACATCGGTTCAATTATTTGAATTCCATTTGGGTTTTTTTTCTTTCTGTGACCTCCATGTGCAGTTTCTGTAGAGATATATCAGATCAAGCCTGAGCTGTGCGATATAGTAGGGAGTTGTAGTTTCCAACAGGCCAATATTCTACATAGTTTAGTGCAGACAAAGTGGTAATTATCTACAATGACGATAATCCATTCCGCATCTGCTTAAACTTGTCCAGTCTCTGCAGAGCAGACAAAGAGAGAGATGGCGAGGAATAGAAAGCAGTTGCTTCGCCAGCCGAAAATACATGAACTAAGTGATTGATAGTTAGTATGCCTTATTTACTTTGAAGAACTACTCAAATAGTGATTTTGTCAGACAGCATAGGCAGCAACTCTACAGAGACTTGGAATTAAATATTAAAGTCACAAATAAAACAAATAAGTCATGTGAATAAATGATGGTTAATTAATAAGTGATCAGCAGTAATGGTGTCAGGGTTGTCAGTGTGATGCGGTAGGATGAAGTCAGGCGCAGGACACAGAGCTAATCGAAAACGTACTTTACTCGTAGGTAACGTAAATAACATAACCTCCACGCAGGGAGGAACAAACCCGCTCACCAGACGACAACCAAACATGAACAAACACGCACAACATACAGTGGGAGCCAGAGGGTTAAATAGGGAAGTAATCAATACCTAATGGGAACCAGGGTGTGAACAATAAAGACAAGACAAGTAGAACACAGAAAACATAGATTGGTAGCAGCCAGTACTCCGGTGACGACGAACGCCGAAGCCTGCCCGAGCAAGGAGGAGGAGCAGCCCTCGGCTGAATCCGTGACAAATGGGCAGTCACTACCATCATGGGACTTTTATTAATTGTTTTATTCTGTGTTACAGCATTCAACCCATATAATGCAAAGTTGCATTTAACATCTAAAGAAATAATCAACACCAAAAACCGTTAAAATAATAGAACCGAAACCGAACCGACCTCAAAAAACACTAATCGCTCGGCACTATCACTGTCATCTGGTCAGCTTGAACTTCTTAAGTTAAAGTTGAACTTCTACTTTCATGACACACACAGACTCTCTCACAAACATGGCAGTTCATCTCAAATCGACAGTGTCATAAGTCTTCATTACAGGCCCCAGCCATGGGTGAAGCTTGTAATGATTAGTTGGGGACAATTGAATCAATATGTGAACCGAGTCCATATCGGCAGCTGGGGAGGTGTGTGTGTGTGTGTGTGTGTGTGTGTGTGTGTGTGGTGTGTGGTGTGTGTGTGGTGTGTTGTGTGTGTTGTGGGTGTGTGTGTGTGTGTGTGTGTGTTGTGTGTGTGTGTGTGTGTTTGTGTGTGTGTGTGTGTGTGTGTGTGTGTGTGTGTGTGTGTGTGCTGTGTGTTTGGACGTGTTTAACTATACTTGTGCGGACCAGAAATAGTAAACCAAGAAACATTTGACCAACTGGGGACATTTTGTTGATCCCCACAAGGTCAAATGCTATTTCTAGGGGGTTTAGGGTTAAGGTTAGAATTAGTGTTAGGGTTAGAATTAGGTTTATGGTAAGGGTACGGTTTAGGGTAGGGGTTTAGAGAAAAATAGGTTAGCAGCGCAAGACGGTGTGTGTGTGTGTGTGTGTGTTGTGTGTGTGTGTGGTGTGTGTGTGTGTGTGTGTGTGTGTGTGTGTGTGTGTGTCTGTGTGTCTGTGTGTGTGTGTGTGCCAGAAGTCCTCACAATTATAAAACCAACAAAAATTCAGAGAATATAATTTTTTATGGGAATCAATTGTTGGTCCCCAAAACATCCTCACAAGTATAACGCATAGCTCTGTGTGGGTGTGTGTGTGTGTGTGTGTTTGTGTGTGTGTGTGTGTGTGTGTGTGTTTGTTTGTTTGTTACTGTTTTCAGATCAGATGCAATGGAGCAGGAGTTATGGAGCAGGAGTTATGCAGCATTAAATAGCCTGCCATACACACACATACACACACACGTACAAATATACTCCCACTCTCCTGAACGGAACCCTACCACTGTCCACAGTGCTGCAGTATGGGTCTGAGGCCAGAATATCATAGTTCTCTATTGAACAACAAAATATTGTTTTTCCTGGTCCTTATTACTCCTGGTCATATTCATAGGGCTCCAGAAAAAGGCATCTCTCAGAAGGTCCCGTTGCAGTCATTAGAAAGAAAAAGACAAACTAACTAGCATGCCTATTGTCAGAGTCCTTTGAGATTGATACTGAACCGTATATAATACAGTGGTCCTATGTAACTCAGTTGGTTAGAGCATGGTGCTTGCAATGCCAGGATAGTGGTTCGATCCTGGGGCCACCCATATAAAAAAAATGTGCAAAGGAGTCACGCTGCTTGCTTAGCGAGTTACCACTTCCTCCTGATTTGTTTCACACCGAGGCTTGAACCCAGGACTTCTGCTTTTGCTAGCACATGTGACCGCCCCTCCTGAAGCATAACACCACGTGAAAAGCTAGCTTTTTGGCAATGCAATTGGGACACTTCAGGCTGATGACTATGTTTCCCACATCCCTATGTGCTACACACGCCTGAATGTAAGTGCGTTGGATACAAAGCATCTGCAAAAAATTTTTTTATATTTTTTTTAATATTTTTTAATACTTATATATATATATTTTTTATTTATATATATTTTAATTTTTTTTTATTTTTTTATTTTTTTTTGGGGGGGGGGAACGGACTCAGCTTAATATTGCAGATATATTGTATCTTCTATCAATGTAATTGTCTGCATCACTTCCAATCCCCCATGGTTTATTTTTATTTTTTATATATATATTCCCCTTTATTACTTTTCAACCCCACCATCCTTTCCCTACTTGGAGTAAATTAGTGAACAACAACGCCCCGGCCTCTACTTCCGGTCTATACTTACTATCTACACCTTATGGACAGAGTTAATTTACAATAACTTCTATATATATATTATATTTTTTTTTATTTATTTTTTGCTCCTGAACTTATTCTACTCTCAACCTCTCCGATCATTTTCATGATGTCCACTCCGGTTTGCTTCTAAATGCCATATCTTTCTAACTGTGCTCTTCCCAAAAGATCCAAAAATAAACCTATATAACTTATTATGGACACAGTATGCTTACATTATTAAGCGTCTTTGTATATTTGTTGTATGATTAGTCCCATCCTTCAAAATCTATTCAATACCTCCCATTATCTCTAACACCATCCATATGGATTCTATTTGCCATATATATTTCCAACCGTACTGTGATGTTTTACAAAAGTTCTGACCTTTCTATTATCATGGCTTCTACAGATTGTGAATTAAAAAAAATAAACATTTTTGCTAAAAGTATATTATCATTATTGATTGATGGACATGACTTTCAGATTCACCCAGTAATGCTATCTGGCAAGGTTAGTTCAAGGTCAAATATTGAATTTCCTTTAGCCATTCCTGGACTGTGTCCAAAAACAAGCTCCAAATGGACAGAACCAAAACAAATGATCTAATGATTCATCTCTTCACAGCAAAATCTGCAGAGCTGGGAAGATTGTATCCCCCATATAAAAACATTCTATGGTAGCAAGAATTGTAGATAATAATTTAAATGAAAGATTCAAATTTTTGAATCCGGTGTCGTTTTGCGTGGTCAGTTCATAAACCACTATGCCATAGGCGATCGGTACGTCCAAAGATCTCTTTCCCAACTCATTTTTGCAATCTATATGGGACGGCTGTTCAATCCTTTGGTTTTCCTAGTGAAACTGAGATACTTTTTTATTTATACAGTGTTCCTTAACCCAATATGTTCTTTAAATGCCAAAGGACCGACAGACAAGTTCCTTACTTTCTCCCCATTCAACTTTTCCTCTTCACTTTTGCGGTAAGGCTTTGCAATTATTTGGTTGTAAATTTTGGGTTAGAGCAGACATTCCATGTTTGTTAGCTGCATGTGGGCGACATAACTCCACCAGCCCTACCGATGATATCATTATTCGAAAGGATTAACCTTTTTTAAACATTCTGTCAAAAAATATAAAGGTTTTTTGGTTTTTGTCAATTAGTATATTTGTGCATTTAACCACAATATTGTTGCATTATTTGTTCTGTCGTTTATGGAGGATTTAAATGAATGAAATTGAAACCAACTTTCTATGGCTGGTTTAGAATAGTGACATTTGGGAGATTATTTCCTTTTCAAATAACTGAAAGTGGAGAAGGTTGTGTTGTAATTGTAATCTGAATAAAGGGAAAAACGGCCTTTCTGAAAACCGTGGGTGAGACAACTTACTTAATTTGCTTGAGAACCCGTTCGGATTTTAAGTATAGACTTTGGATTGACTGAAGATTTTAGTTGATAGGTCTAATGCGTTAATATTTTTAATAATTCTGTCCTCCGACTTAATATGCATTATTATAATATTGTCTTTTAATTTTGTATGGCTGCCGTTCCAAATAAAATTGAATATTTTTTCTCTCAAATAATTTAAAAAACTGGTTGCTAGCGTAGGCAGACCATCCGCAAATAGGTAAACTGGCGATAATACTAAAGAGTTAATCGGGTGAATTGTTCCACAAATGACAGGTATTTTCCTTTCCAGTTAGTCCAACCCCCGAAATCTTATCTATTTTGAGAACTTTCTATTAAACTGTATTGAAGTGAGATCATTGATTCCTTTGGGATATGTATTCCGAGTATATCCACATCACCCTCAGACCATTTATGGTAAAAACACATGGTAATGTAAAAATTGTTTTTAGTGAACCAATACGTAATATAGTCATTTGTCATAATTGGGTTTTATCCAGAGAGGTTAGAAAATGTGTATCTAGATACTCTAGACGGCTGTGATGGAGCGGATTTAGTTGTGGATCCTAAAAGAAAACAGAACATCTTGGCGTACAATGACACCTTTTGTTTTTAAGACCTTGTATTTATAATCCTATGATATTATTATGGATCTGATTTTAATAGCGAACATTCTCGATGGCCCCAATAAATAGATATGCCGATAGTGGACAACCGTGTTTCACTCCTCTTGGACAGTTTAAAAACTTTCTGAGAAATAGCCATTATTTACTATTTTACACCTAGGGTTACTATACTGGATTTTGACCCATTTTATAAGGATCTCCCAAAATGAAAATGCTCCAGGCCTATATATAAATCCCAGTCGAAACTTTATTCAAAGGCATTTTCGAAGTCTGCTATGAATAGCAGGACAGGGTTTCCCTAGTTTCCTAGTGTTCATTGTCCAGACGTGCTTATATTATCTCCATGTATCTCCAGTAAAAAACTGTCTGATTAGAATGAATAATATCCGACAATAACTTTTTAATTCTATGCGCTAACATTTTGCTAGGATTGTGCACACAACACTGAAGTGTAAGGGGCCTCCATTTTGTAAAATGGACTGGATCTTTATTTTCCACTTGTATTCCTGTTCAGTAATAATGAGATCAGACCTTCTTCTTGGAGTGCAGATAATCTACCATTTACATAGGGAGTGGTTATTAAAACATGCTAAATAACGGTCATCTTAGTATATCAAAAAAGGTTTGGTATACCTCGATTGGATGCATCCAACCTGGAGTTTCCCGGACTAAAGTATTTAATTGCATCCAGAATTGCCTCCTCTTGTAATTCACCTTTCACATGAGTCTTTCTGTTGCTGTTAATTTGACATTATCAATAGAAAAAAAAAATCTCTACAATTAGCTTCAGTTAGAGGAGAGGAGGCGGACTGTGAAACAAGAAAACAGATTGCTTACGTTACTGTGTTTTCTCTTTCACAAATATCATTAGGTGGAATTATGGGTGACTCCGTCAATGGTAACCAGTTCATTTAAGTTCTTTTGGTTAGCATTCCTTAGTTGAAGATTAAAAAAGAATTTGTTCAGTTTTCCCCATATGCCATCCAGTTGCTTTAGTTTTATTAAACATTACACTTGATCTTTCTGAATAAGTTTTTCCACAGTCTTTTTTCTTTCCTAATTTATTCTGAGATCTATGTTACAAGTGTTTATTGCCCGCCCCCATCTATCGTTCTGTTATAGACTTTCTCTTTCCTTTTAGTATAAAACTCTTTTGACCTAAATTGCTTTGTTTTCGAGATGAGTACTGAATTGATGCCTCAAAAGGCACATTTAAAGGTGGTACACATACCATAAGGGGATTCGCTTGTTACCTAGGTTATGTTGGAAACGTCATTATACATTCCTTTGTTCTCAATTATAGTATATGTACAATAGTCAAGGTATATCACAAAGCGTTCCACGAATATACGGCTTTGTTAAAGTTTCAAATACCTCGCCCACGTGGCAATTCTAGAGTCAGAGTAATGTATACTTATAATACTCATTTTTCCACCAAATTTGCAAATAAATTCATAAAAAATCATACAATGTGATTTTCTGGATTTTTTTTCTCCTCAATTTGTATGTCATAGTTGACGTGGACCTATGATGAAAGGTACAGGGGGTCCTCTCTCATCTTTTTACAGTGGAGACTTGCCACAATTGGGGCTGATCTAAATAATTTTTGCCCCAAATGTATTCCACACCCCTGATTCAATCGTTTGTTACTAAAAGCAAATTGTTGTGATTACCACCTGTGAGACTTTCGGGGATAAGTCTCTAGCGCTTTCCACCACCTGGTTGGGCTAACTTGCCCATTATGATTTCAAAAATACTTCAGCTCTGTCAAATTGGTGTTGATCATTGCGAAGACAACAATTTGCAGGCCTTGCCATAGATTTTTCAAGTAGATTTAAGTACAAACGTGTAACTCGGCCTCTCAGGAACATTTCATGTATTCTTGGTAAAGCAACTCCAGGTGTAGGATTTGCCTTCTTGTTTTAGGTTATTGTCCGGCAGAAAGGTAAATTCTCTCCGTTTCGGGTGGGGGAAAGCAGACTGAACCCAGGGGTTTCTCTAGGGATTTGGGCCTGCGCTTAGCTCCATTCCGTTTTTATTGTTCATCCTGAGAACCTCCCCAGTCCTTAACGATTACCAAGCATACCCATATATGATGCAGCCACCACTATGCTTGAAAAATTATGGAGAGTGGTACTCAGTAATGTGTCTGTATGGATATGCCGAACATAACACTTTGTATTCAGGACAAAAAGTGAATTCTTTGCCATTTTTGTTTTGTTGCCAATATTACTTTAGTGCCCTTGGTGCAAAACAGGTCATGTTTTGGAATATTTTTATAATGTACAGGATTCCTTCTTTCCCTATGCAATTAGGTTAGTATTGTGGAGTAACTACAATGTTGGTATATCCATCATAATTTTTTTTCCTACACAGCATTAAAACATTAAATTCACCATTGGACTCATGGTGCAATCCTCTGAGCGGTTTCCGTCCTCTCCGGGCAATGAGTTAGGAAGGTAGCCGGTAACTTTTCAGGAATAGAAAGCAGTTGCTTCGCCAGCCGAAAATACATGAACTAAGTGATTGATAGTTAGTATGCCTTATTTACTTTGAAGAACTACTCAAATAGTGATTTTGTCAGACAGCATAGGCAGCAACTCTACAGAGACTTGGAATTAAATATTAAAGTCACAAATAAAACAAATAAGTCATGTGAATAAATGATGGTTAATAAGTGATCAGCAGTAATGGTGTCAGGGTGTCAGTGTGATGCGGTAGGATGAAGTCAGGCGCAGGACACAGAGCTAATCGAAAACGTACTTTACTCGTAGGTAACGTAAATAACATAACCTCCACGCAGGGAGGAACAAACCCGCTCACCAGACGACAACCAAACATGAACAAACACGCACAACATACAGTGGGAGCCAGAGGGTTAAATAGGGAAGTAATCAATACCTAATGGGAACCAGGTGTGAACAATAAAGACAAGACAAGTAGAACACAGAAACATAGATTGGTAGCAGCCAGTACTCCGGTGACGACGAACGCCGAAGCCTGCCCGAGCAAGGAGGAGGAGCAGCCTCGGCTGAATCCGTGACAAATGGGCAGTCACTACCATCATGGGACTTTTATTAATTGTTTTATTCTGTGTTACAGCATTCAACCCATATAATGCAAAGTGCATTTAACATCTAAAGAAATAATCAACACCAAAAACCGTAAAATAATAGAACCGAAACCGAACCGACCTCAAAAACCACTAATCGCTCGGCACTATCACTGTCATCTGGTCAGCTTGAACTTCTTAAAGTTAAAGTTGAACTTCTACTTTCATGACACACACAGACTCTCTCACAAACATGGCAGTTCATCTCAAATCCGACAGTGTCATAAGTCTTCATGTACAGGCCCAGCCATGGGTGAAGCTTGTAATGATTAGTTGGGGACAATTGAATCAATATGTGAACCGAGCTCCATATCGGCAGCTGGGGAGGTGTGTGTGTGTGGTGTGTGTGTGTGTGTGTGTGTGTGTGTGGTGTGTGTGTGTGTGTGTGTGTGTGTGTGTGTGTGTGTGTGTGGTGGTGTGTGTGTGTGTGTGTGTGTGTGGTGTGTGTGTGTGTGTGTGTGTGTGTGTGTGTGTGTGTGTGGTGTGGTGTGTGTGTGTGTGTGTGTGTGTGTGTGTGGTGTGTGTGTGTTGGGTGGTGTGTGTGTGTGTTTGGACGTGTTTAACTATACTTGTGCGGACCAGAAATAGTAAACAAGAAACATTTGACCAACTGGGGACATTTTGTTGATCCCCACAAGGTCAAATGCTATTTCTAGGGGGTTTAGGGTTAAGGTTAGAATTAGTGTTAGGGTTAGAATTAGGTTTATGGTAAGGGTACGGTTTAGGGTTAGGGGTTAGAGAAAATAGGTTAGCAGCGCAAGACTGTGTGTGTGTTGTGTGTGGTGTGTGTGTGTGTGTGTGTGTGTGTGTTGTGTGTGTGTGGTGTGTTGTGTGTCTGTGTGGTGTGTGTGTGTGCCAGAAGTCCTCACAATTATAAAACCAACAAAAATTCAGAGAATATAATTTTTTATGGGAATCAATTGTTGGTCCCCAAAACATCCTCACAAGTATAACGCATAGCTCTGTGTGTGTGTGTGTGTGTGTGTGTGTTTGTGTGTGTGTGTGTGTGTGTGTGTGTTTGTTTGTTTGTTACTGTTTTCAGATCAGATGCAATGGAGCAGGAGTTATGGAGCAGGAGTTATGCAGCATTAAATAGCCTGCATACACACACATACACACACACGTACAAATATACTCCACTCTCCTGAACGGAACCCTACACTGTCCACAGTGCTGCAGTATGGGTCTGAGGCCAGAATATCATAGTTCTCTATTGAACAACAAAATATTGTTTTTCCTGGTCCTTATTACTCCTGGTCATATTCATAGGGCTCCAGAAAAAGGCATCTCTCAGAAGGTCCCGTTGCAGTCATTAGAAAGAAAAAGACAAACTAACTAGCATGCTATTGTCAGAGTCCTTTGAGATTGATACTGAACCGTATATAATACAGTGGTCCTATGTAACTCAGTTGGTAGAGCATGGTGCTTGCAATGCCAGGATAGTGGTTCGATTCCTGGGGCCACCCATATAAAAAAAATGTGCAAAGGATGTCACGCTGCTTGCTTAGCGAGTACCACTTCCTCCTGATTTGTTTCACACCGAGGCTTGAACCCAGGACTTCTGCTTTGCTAGCACATGTGACCGCCCTCCTGAAGCATAACACCACGTGAAAAGCTAGCTTTTTGGCATGCAATTGGGACACTTCAGGCTGATGACTATGTTTCCCACATCCCTATGTGCTACACACGCCTGAATGTAAGTTGCGTTGGATAAAAGCATCTGCAAAAAATTTTTTTTATATTTTTTTAATATTTTTTAATACTTATATATATATATTTTTTATTTATATATATTTTAATTTTTTTATTTTTTTATTTTTTTTGGGGGGGGGGAACGGATCAGCTTAATATTGCAGATATATTGTATCTTCTATCAATGTAATTGTCTGCATCACTTCCAATCCCCCATGTTTATTTTTATTTTTTATATATATATTCCCCTTTATTACTTTTCAACCCCACCATCCTTTCCCTACTTGGAGTAAATTAGTGAACAACAACGCCCCGGCCTCTACTTCCGGTCTATACTTACTATCTACACCTTATGGACAGAGTTAATTTTACAATAATTCTATATATATATATATATTTTATTTTTATTTATTTTTTGCTCCTGAACTTATTCTACTCTCAACCTCTCCGATCATTTTCATGATGTCCATCCGGTTTGCTTCTAAATGCCATATCTTTCTAACTGTGCTCTTTCCCAAAAGCTCCCAACATACAACCTATATACTTATTATGGACACAGTATGCTTACATTATTAGCTATCTTTGTTATTATTTGTTGTTATTTGTTATTAGTCCCATCCTTCAACTCTATTCAATACCTCCCATCTATCTCTTAACACCATCCATATAGGATTTCTATTTGCCATATATATTTCAACCGTACTGTGATGTTTTACAAAAGTTCTGAACCTTTCTATTCTCATTGCTTCTACAGATTGTGAATTAAAAATAAACATTTTTGCTAAAAGTATTATTATATTATTGATTGATTGACTATGACTTTTCAGATCACCCAGTAATGCTATCTGCAAGGTTAGTTCCAGGTAAATATTGCAATCCTTTAGCCATTCCTGGACCTGTGTCCAAAAACAAGCTACAAATGGACAGAACCAAAACAAATGATCTAATGATTCTATCTCTTCACAGCAAAATCTGCAGAGCTGGGAAGATTGTATCCCCCATATAAATAACATTCTATTGGTAGCAAGAATTGTATATAATAATTTAAATTGAAAGATTCAAATTTTTGAATCCGGTGTCGTTTTGCGTGTCAGTTCATAAACACTATGCCATGGGATCGGTACGTCAAAGATCTCTTCCCAACTATTTTGCAATCTATATGGGACGGCTGTCAATCCTTTGGTCCTTAAGTGAAACTGATATACTTTTTTATTTATCACAGTTTTCCTTAACCAATTATGTTCTTTAATGCAAGGCCGACAGACAAGTTCCTTACTTTCTCCCCCTTCAACTTTCCTCTTCCACTTTTGCGGTAAGGCTGCAATTATTTGGTTGTAATTTTGGGTAGAGCAGACATTTCCATATGTTTTTGTTAGCTGCATGTGCGACATAACTCCACCAGTCCTACCGATGATATCATTTACGAAGATTATACCTTTTTTAAACATTCTGTCAAAAAATAAAGGTTTTTTGTCAATTAGTATATTTGAATTTAACCACAATATTTGTTGCATTATTTGTTCTGTCGTTTCTGGAGGATTAAATTGAAATTGCAACCAACTTTCTATGGCTTGTTTTAGAAATAGTGACATTTGGGAGATTATTTCCTTTTCAAATAACTGAAAGTGAGAGGTTGTAATCTGAATAAAGGGAAAAAGGCCTTTCTTGAACAGTGGGTGAGACAATCTTACTAATTTGCTTGAGAACCAGTTCGGATTTAAGTATAACTTTTGGATGACTGAAGATTTTAGTGATAGGTCTAATGCTTTAATATTTAATAATTTCTGTCCTCCGAATTCATATTCATTATATAAATATGCTCTTTTAATTTTGTCTGGCTTGCCGTTCCAAATAAAATTGAATATTTTTTTCTCATATAATTTAAAAAACTGTTTGCTAGGCGTAGGCAAGACCATAAGCAAATAGGTAAACTGGGATAATACTAAAGAGTTAATCAGGGTGATTTTTCCACAAATTGACAGGTATTTTCCTTTCCATGTTAGTAAGATCTTATCTATTTTTGCTAACTTTCTATTAAAATGTATTGAAGTGAGATCATTTATTTCCTTTGGGATATGTATTCCGAGTATATCCACATCACCATCAGACCATTTTATTGGTAAACTACATGGTAATGTAAAAATTGTATTTTTTAGTGATCCAATACGTAATATAGTACATTTGTCATAATTTGGTTTTAATCCAGAGAGGTTAGAAAATGTATCTAGATCCTCTATGAGGCTGTGGAGGGATTCTAGTTGTGGATCTAAAAGAAAACATGAATCATCTGCGTACAATGACACCTTTGTTTTTAAGCCCTGTATTTCTAATCCTCTGATATTATTATTGGATCTGATTTTAATAGCTAACATCTCGATGGCCACAATAAATAGATATGCCGATAGTGGACAACCTTGTTTCACTCCTCTTGACAGTTTAAAACTTTCTGAGAAATAGCCATTATTTACTATTTTACACCTAGGGTTACTATACATGATTTTGACCCATTTTATAAGAGATTCTCCAAAATTGAAATGCTCCAGGCATTTATATATAAATCCCAGTCGAACTTTATCAAATGCCTTTTCGAAGTCTGCTATGAATAGCAGGCCTGGTTTCCCATATTTTCCATAGTGTTCTATTGTTTCCAATACTTGCCTTATATTATCTCCAATGTATCTTCCATGTAAAAAACCTGTCTGATTAGAATGAATAATATCCGACAATACCTTTTTAATTCTATGCGCTATACATTTTGCTAGGATTTTTGCATCACAACACTGAAGTGTAAGGGGCCTCCAATTTTGTAAATGGACTGGATCTTTATATTTTCCACTTGTATCCTGTTTCAGTAATAATGAGATCAGACCTTCTTCTTGAGTGTCAGATAATCTACCATTTACATAGGAGTGGTTAAAACATGCTAATAACGGTCCTCTTAGTATATCAAAAAAGGTTTGGTATACCTCGATTGGTATGCCATCCAACCCTGGAGTTTTCCCGGACTTAAAGTCTTTAATTGCATCCAGAAGTTCCTCCTCTGTAATTTCACCTTCACATGAGTCTTTCTGTGTGGCTGTTAATTTGACATTATCAATAGAAAAAAAATCTCTACAATTAGCTTCAGTTAGAGGAGATGGAGGCGACTGAAAAGAAAACATATGCTTAAAGTACTTTGTTTCTTCCTTCAAAATATCATTAGGTGAATTATGGGTGACTCCGTCAATTGTAACCAGTTTCATTAAGTTCTTTTTGGTAGCATTCCTATGTTGAAGATTAAAAAAGAATTTTGTGCATTTTTCCCCATATTCCATCCAGTTTGCTTTATTTTTATAATACATTACACTTGATCTTTCTTGAATAAGTTTTTCCATTTCTTTTTGTTTTTCCTCTAATTTATTCTGAGCCTCTATGTTACAGTTTTTATTGCCATCTATCTGTTCTGTTAGACTTTCTATTTCCTTTCTTAGTATAAACTCTTTTGACCTAAATTGCTTTTGTTTTCGAGATGAGTACTGAATTGCATGGCCTCTAAAGGCACATTTAAAGGTGTCCCATACAATAAGGGGATTCGCTGTACCTATGTTATGTTGGAAAAAGTCAGTTATAAATTCCTTTGTTCTAATTATAAATAAATTATCATCCAATAGGCTTTGATTAAATTTCAAATATCCTCGCCCACGTGGAAATTCAGTCAGAGTAATGTATACTTATAATACTTATTTTCCACCATAATTTGCAAATAAATTCATAAAAAATCCTACAATGTGATTTTCTGGATTTTTTTTCTCTCAATTTGTCTGTCATAGTTGACGTGTACCTATGATGAAAATTACAGGCCTCTCTCATCTTTTTAAGTGGGAGAACTTGCACAATTGGTGGCTGACTAAATACTTTTTTCCCCCACTGTATTCACACCCCTGATTCAATAGTTTGTAAAAGCACCTTTGGTTGTGATTACACCTGTGAGACTTTCTGGATAAGTCTCTAAGCGCTTTCCACACCTGGATTGTGCTACATTTGCCCATTATTATTTTCAAAATACTTCAAGCTCTGTCAAATTGGTTGTTGATCATTGCGAGACAACAATTTGCAGGCCTTGCCATAGATTTTCAAGTAGATTTAAGTCTAAACTGTAACTCGGCCTCTCAGGAACATTCACTGTCTTCTTGGTAAGCAACTCCAGTGTAGATTTGGCCTTCTGTTTTAGGTTATTGTCCTGCAGAAAGGTAAATTCATCTCCCAGTTTCTGGTGGAAAGCAGACTGAACCAGGGTTTCTCTAGGATTTTGGCTGCGCTTAGCTCCATTCCGTTTTTATTTTTCATCCTGAGAAACTCCCCAGTCCTTAACGATTACAAGCATACCCATAATATGATGCAGCCACCACTATGCTTGAAAATATGGAGAGTGGTACTCAGTAATGTGTTGTATTGGATATGCCCGAAACATAACACTTTGTATTCAGGACAAAAAGTGAATTGCTTTGCCATTTTTGTTTTGTTGCAATATTACTTTAGTGCCTTGTTGCAAACAGGATGCATGTTTTGGAATATTTTTTATCATGTACAGGCTTCCTTCTTTTCCCTCTGTCAATTAGGTTAGTATTGTGGAGTAACTACAATGTTGTATATCCATCATAATTTTTTTTCCTATCACAGCCATTAAACATTAAATTCACCATTGGACTCATGGTGAAATCCCTGAGCGGTTTCCTTCCTCTCCGGCAACTGAGTTAGGAAGGTAGCCTGTAACTTTATAGTGACTGGGTGTATTGATTCACCATCCAAAGTGTAATTGGTCCCGTGTAGCTCAGTAGTTAGAGCATGGTGCTTGCAACGCCAGGGTTCGATTCCCACGGGGGACCAGTATGAAAAAAGTATGAAAATGTATGCACTCACTTCTGTAAGTCGTTCTGGATAAGAGTGTCTGCTAAATGACTCAGATGTAATTAATAACATCACCATTCTCAAAGAGATATTCAATGCAGTGGCAGTCGGTGCCATTTAAGATGAGGGAGGATGTTTAAAAAAATATATATATATGATCATGGCCTTATTTCTATTATAGCATATTGGATGACTGTCATTCATATTCCATTCACCCAGCTCAATGTAACATCGACAGGTTTAGGCTAATACATGATACTCAAATTTTCCCTGTACCCACCTATGAATTAAAGGTTACAACATAGGTGCACAGGTCGAGATCATTTTGAGTAATCAAGGTGACAGACAGTGACACATTCAATACTGTCTTGCACATTCTTGCCTGCATATAGCTGATCTAGGGTGTAATCATTAGTCCAACAGTTGCAAATGAGAGTTTCTATTGGACAAATTCAGGTATGTATGTCCCCATTTCGTTCAGTTTGCTTCCATTTAAGAAGCGTTTTTCAACAGAATAGACGGAATGAATACATCCCTGATCACACGCAAACACAGTTCACTTTCATAGCAGCCACATAAAAACAGCATGATCAGTTTGCTCGTTGTATATATAATTCCTTATCGCAACTACAGTGGGGAAAAAAAGTATTTAGTCAGCCACCAATTGTGCAAGTTCTCCCACTTAAAAAGATGAGAGAGGCCTGTAATTTTCATCATAGGTACACGTCAATTATGACAGACAAATTGAGAGAAAAAAAATCCAGAAAATCACATTGTAGGATTTTTTATGAATTTATTTGCAAATTATGGTGGAAAATAAGTATTTGGTCACCTACAAACAAGCAAGATTTCTGGCTCTCACAGACCTGTAACTTCTTCTTTAAGAGGCTCCTCTGTCCTCCACTCGTTACCTGTATTAATGGCACCTGTTTGAACTTGTTATCAGTATAAAAGACACCTGTCCACAACCTCAAACAGTCACACTCCAAACTCCACTATGGCCAAGACCAAAGAGCTGTCAAAGGACACCAGAAACAAAATTGTAGACCTGCACCAGGCTGGGAAGACTGAATCTGCAATAGGTAAGCAGCTTGGTTTGAAGAAATCAACTGTGGGAGCAATTATTAGGAAATGGAAGACATACAAGACCACTGATAAACTCCCTCGATCTGGGGCTCCACGCAAGATCTCACCCTGTGGGGTCAAAATGATCACAAGAACGGTGAGCAAAAATCCCAGAACCACACAGGGGGACCTAGTGAATGACCTGCAGAGAGCTGGGACCAAAATAACAAAGCCTACTATCAGTAACACACTACGCCGCCAGGGACTCAAATCCTGCAGTGCCAGACGTGTCCCCCTGCTTAAGCCAGTACATGTCCAGGCCCGTCTGAAGTTTGCTAGAGTGCATTTGGATGATCCAGAAGAGGATTGGGAGAATGTCATATGATCAGATGAAACCAAAATATAACTTTTTGGTAAAAACTCAACTCGTCGTGTTTGGAGGACAAAGAATGCTGAGTTGCATCCAAAGAACACCATACCTACTGTGAAGCATGGGGGTGGAAACATCATGCTTTGGGGCTGTTATTCTGCAAAGGGACCAGGACGACTTATTCGTGTAAAGGAAAGAATGAATGGGGCCATTTATCGTGAGATTTTGAGTGAAAACCTCCTTCCATCAGCAAGGGCATTGAAGATGAAACGTGGCTGGGTCTTTCAGCATGACAATGATCCCAAACACACCGCCCGGGCAACGAAGGAGTGGCTTCGTAAGAAGCATTTCAAGGTCCTTGAGTGGCCTAGCCAGTCTCCAGATCTCAACCCCATAGAAAATCTTTGGAGGGAGTTGAAAGTCTGTGTTGCCCAGCGACAGCCCCAAAACATCACTGCTCTAGAGGAGATCTGCATGGAGGAATGGGCCAAAATACCAGCAACAGTGTGTGAAAACCTTGTGAAGACATACAGAAAACTTTTGACCTGTGTCATTTCCAACAAAGGGTATATAACAAAGTATTGAGAAACTTTTGTTATTGACCAAATACTTATTTTCCACCATAATTTGCAAATAAATTCATTAACAATCCTACAATGTGATTTTCTGGAGAAAAAAAAATTCATTTTGTCTATCATAGTTGATGTGCACCTATGATGAAAATTACAGGCCTCTCTCATCTTTTTAAGTGGGAGAACTTGCACAATTGGTGGCTGACTAAATACTTTTTTCCCCCACTGTATCTGTGCACTCTCCTCCTCTCACCTTTTCTCTTTGTTTGTGGACTTCAGTGTACAACACATCAGCTGTCTGTGACCAGGCGAAAAAACCTTTCCAAGCCAAACCTTCATATCATGACCGCTAACAGCTACATACAGCCTACATCATTGTCACGTCATAGTCAACATACTAGAACTAACGCATGAATAAACCCGCTACAATCATGCAGTACAGTGTACAGTCAGAATGCAGTTTAGCAGTTACTCCGGTGGTCACAGTGACAATAAATTAATACAACCAAAAGCTTACCTAGACTTAAAAAGTTCCAGTGTTGAATAGCCATAGCCAGCTAGCTAACATAGCATCCCTCTCTGTTTGAGCTGGGTGTTTTAGTAGGCTAAACTAGCTAGCTGCATTCGCAAGTGAAAGTGAAAGTTTAAAATAATACAACCAAATATAGCTCTCTCTCTCGCTTCTCCTTAATTTTGGAAGAAATTAATTTGTTAAAAACTGTTCAACTATTGTCTTTCACTTGAGTCAACTACTCACCACATTTGATGCACTGCAGTGCTAGCTAGCTGTAACTTATGCTTTCAGTACTAGATTAATTCTCTGATCCATTGATTGGGTAGACAACATGTCAGTTCATGTTGCAAGAGCTCTGATAGGTTGGAGGACGTCCTCCGGAAGTTGTCATCATTACTGTGTAAGTCTATGGAAGGGGGTGAGAACCATGAGCCTCCTAGGTTTTGTATTGAAGTCAATGTAGCCAGAGGAGGACAGACGCTAGCTGTCCTCCGGCTACACCATGATGCACACTACAGAGTGCTGCTGAGGCTACTGTAGACCTTCATTGCAAAACAGTGTGTTTTATCAATTTTTTGGTGACGTGAATATATTTATTATATTTCTATCTAAAAATGATTTAATTTTTTTAAATGAAATTCACTGAGGAGGATGATCCTCCCCTTCCTCCTCTGAGGAGCCTCCACTGATTCAATGTCTTTTTTGTCTCTGCCATCTACCAGTAGGTGCCCTTCTTTGCGAGGCATTGGAAAACCTCCCTGGTCTTTGTGGTAAATACTTATTGACTCAAGAGCTTTCAGCTTTTCATTTTTTATTAATTTGTAAAAATGTAGAAAAACACAATTCCACTTTGACTTTATAGGGTGTTGTGTGTAGGCCAGTGACAAAACATATTTCATCCATTTTAAATTCAGGCTGTATATTAATAGAACCCAGAACTGAGAAAAGATACTGAGCAAAGCTAAACAGATGTACAATATGGAAACAGAACTAAAACAGTCAAATGGAAACACAAAAGGAATTAATAGAATCAATTCCACCACAAGCATAGACATGTTAGTGTATTTCACTTACACACACACACACACGCACACAAACACACACAGTAGTAGGCCCCTCTCTTGGCAGTGTGAGAGGACCGGCCCATGCATTTTTTATGGAGTTCTGAAGGCCTGTCTTCGTGCAGGGTTTAAATTTTTTAATGTTGCTATTTCTCACTCTACTACTGTCAGGCTGGGAGTAGTGGGACCAGGGCACAGCCTTGGTGTTACAGAGCTCTAACAGGAACTAGAACCGGAGTTATTAGCGCTATCCGTTCCTTTCCAACCCACTTTGGATTGGCTTATGGCTAGAATCCTTCATTGAAAATACGTTCTCCCTGTGCCTCTTTCTCTAAAAAGCTAAGGGATGGGTCTGGCGAAATGTAACCACTCTCAGATTAATAGACAGAGCTATGGATGCCAGGACTGACCATCTATGATATCAAATGTATAGTTTTAACCATGTTTTGAGGCTATACAGTGTTTGTTTACATTTCACATTATTTACAAACATTGAAGTAAAATAAACGTATACTTTGGGTTCTGATGGGGTACGACTTGGGTTGCAAATGGAGGGTATCCCAGCTAGCACAAAACGTTCCATATGTTTCTTAGAGCTTGGTGAGAGCATGGTTGTCCTATGGTTATTTTGCATACAACCTTCCCACAATGTTCTGGGAATGGTACAGGATACCCAGCTAGCACATAACATTCTGAGAACCATGTTTCTTAGGTGGGAATTTCAGTACTTTAGCATAACGTTTTCTACAGGTTTCCTCATGGTTCTATTTAAAATTATGTTCTTAGAACGTTCCGAGAATGTTAAGAAACAACATTCTTCTGTGGGAATTTCAGTACTACAGCATAATGTTTTCTGCAGGTTTCCTCATGGTTCTATTTAAAGTCATGTTCTCAGAACATTAAGAAAACTTTCCATAAAAAACACAAGAAAACATTAGTAATATTCAAAGAATGTTCTAAGAATGTTATTTAAAAACATATACATTCTGTTCTCAGCGTCAACAAAACTCTCTCTATCCTCTATCTTGTTAAGTGTGTTCAGGTGTGTTGTCCGCGCCCTCTAATTGGACACACCCGATCTTAATGAGCGCTTGTTTCCTTTGATATGGGGTCTAATTAAATAGACTAAAATTAACAGCTTTGTATCAGTGAAGGCTAGAGAAAAGAAGATCATAGGTTTGACTCTCACTGACGCCATGCCACAATAAAAAAAGAAATGTGTTTGCTGATTAATGCCTAAACAGATGAATTTCCGTTTGTGTGTGGCTTTGTTCCCAGGACCAATGGGAAACCAAAAATGTACGTTCCCACAAGGAACCAAATGTGCTAGCTAAGATATTACTGGAAACGTTTGAGGTTTAACAGTAAACTACCAGAATTTTTGTAACTTTCAAGGTTTATTTGGAATTTTGTAAGATTAAATCTAGTTGCATTTTTGGGTACTTCAGATTATCACAGGTGTCTGTAATTATTTCTGGCCTTCTGTGTGGCCTTATCACATGTACAATATATGAAATAATTAGAAACTCATGGACAACATGGACACAGATATAAAAAATCGATACTATATATGAATATATATTTTTTAAGTTATTCAAGTATAAATTACAAAAGTTACCATAGATTGCCATAGATGTTCTGTTAATTACCAAAATGACCCAAGATTCCGTTAACTTTGGTAAATTACAGGTAGCTTTGCAACCCTAGTTGAACTAAGCTCATGAGGTTGAAGGAATTGTCCATAGAGCTCCGAGACAGGATTGTGTTGAGGCACAGATCTGGGGAAGTGTACCAAACATTTCTGCAGCATTGAAGGTCCCCAAGAACACAGTGGCCTCCATCATTCTTAAATGGAAGAAGTTTGGAACCACCAAGACTCTTCCTGGCCAAACTGAGCAATCGGGGGAGAAGGGCCTTGGTCAGGGAGGTGACCAAGAACCCGGTAGTCACTCTGACAGAGCTCTAGAGTTCCTCTGTGGAGATGGGAGAACCTTCCAGAAGGACAACCATCTCTGCAGCACTCCACCAATCAGGCCTTTATGGTAGAGTGGCCAGACGGAAGCCACTCCTCAGTAAAAGGCACATGACAGCCCGTTGGAGTTTGCCAAAAGGCACCTAAAGACTCTCAGACCATGAGAAACAAGATTCTCTGGTCTGATGAAACCAAGATTGAACTCTTTAGCCTGAATGCCAAGCCTCACATCTGGAGTAAACCTGGCACCATCCCTACGGTGAAGCATGGTGGTGGCAGCATCATGCTGTGGGGATGTTTTTCAGTGGCAGGGACTGGGAGACTAGTCCGGATCGAGGCAAAGATGAACGGAGCAAAGTACAGAGAGATCCTTAATGAAAACCTGCTCCAGAGCACTCAGGACCTCAGACTGAGGTGAAGGTTCACCTTCCAACAGGACAACAACCCTAAGCACACAGCCAAGACAATGCAGGAGTGGCTTCGGGACAAGTCTCTGAATTTCTTTGAGTGGCCCAGCCAGAACCCGGACTAGAACCCAATCGAACATCTCTGGAGAGACCTGAACATAGCTGTGCAGCAATGCTCCCCATCCAACCTGACAGAGCTTGAGAGGATCTGCAGAGAAGAATGGGAGAAACTCCCCAAATACAGGTGTGCCAAGTTTTTAGCGTCATACCTAAGACGACTTGATGCTGTAATCGCTGCCAAAGGTGCTTCAACAAAGTACTGAGTAAAGGGTTTGAATACTTATGTAAATGTGATATTTCAGTTTTTTATTTGTAATATATTAGCAAACATTTCTAAGAACCTGTTTTTGCTTTGTCATTACGGGCTATTGTGTGTAGATTGATGAGGGGGATAAAAAAAATATTTTTTTTAATAAGGCTGTAACGTAACAAACTGTGGAAAAGTCAAGGGGTCTGAATACTTTACGAAGGCACTGTACTACCCTATAATGTCAAAGTGGAATTATGTTTTTCTAAACTGAAATGTCTTGAGTTAATAAGTATTCAACTTCTTTGTTAAGGAAGCCTAAATAAGTTCAGGAGTAAACATTTGCTTAATAAGTCACATAATACATTACATGGACTCACTCAGTGTGCAATAATAGTGTTTAATATGATTTTTGAATGACTACCTCATCTCTGTACTCCACATATACAATGAATTATATGTAAGGTCCCTCAGTCGAGCAGTGAATTTCAAACACAGATTCAACCACAAAGACCAGGGAGGTTTTCCAATGGCTTGCAAAGAAGGGCACCTATTGGTAGATGGGTAAAAAAAACGGACATTGAATATCCCTTTGAGCAGGGTGAAGTTATTAATTACACTTCGGATGGTGTATCAATACACCCAATCACTACAAAGATACAGGCGTCCTTCCTAACTCAGTTGCCGGAGAGGAAGGAAACCGCTTAGGGATTTCACCATGAGGCCGTATGGTAAGCCCTGAAAATTGTTGTCTAGCAATGATCAACAACTAATTTGACAGAGCTTGAAGAATTTTGAAAATAATAATGGTGTAGATTGGAAACATTTCATCACATTGCATACTGTCATCATACTTTGCCATGTAGATTATTGAACGATATGTGTGTGTGTGTACATGTATGTGAATATCTTCGTGAGTCTTTGTGTGTGTGTTAACGTGAGTCTGTGTGTGAGTGCCTGTGAGTTCTTGTCACGATCGTCAGGGAGAGACCAAGGCGCAGCGTTGAATGCGAACATTATATTTATTATTATACTGATCACACGATCAAAACAACAGACGAAAAACGTGATGTCTACGGTTTGAACACAAACCGAACAAGAAACCACAAACACAAAGTGAAAGACAGACAGTTAAATATGGCTCCCAATCAGAGACAACCAGCTGACACTCGTTGCCTCTGATTGGGAGTCACTCAGGCCAACATAGAAATACAAACATAGAATTACACACCCTGGCTCAACATAACAGTGTCCCCAGAGCCAGGGCGTGACAGTTCTCGACAACAACACTACCAGTTTATTTTAAACATGAAAGTGAAATGAGGAACTGTGAAATTTCACTAAGAGGAGCATGTCAGAAGATATGTGTGTTGTGCCACCTGTTTCAAATGAGGAACATATTCTCAGTGACAAGGGGTGTTTCTCAAAATGCATACTACCCTGCCTGAGCACGTAAATTGGAGCACGGGAAGGTCGAAGGATGAGTCCAAATCAAAGTATGTGAAACGGAGCCCGGAGGGCATTTCTCGAATGCGTACTCCGTTTGTACATACAGTTAAAGTCGGAAGTTTACATACACCTTAGCCAAATACATTTAAACTCAGTTTTTCACAATTCCTGACATTTAATCCTAGTAAAAATTCAAATTCTTAGGTCAGTTAGGATCACCACTTTATTTTAAGAATGTGAAATGTCAGAATAATAGTAGAGAGAATGATTTATTTCAGCTTTAATTTCTTTCATCACATTCCCAGTGGGTTAGAAGTTTACATACACTCAATGAGTATTTGGTAGCATTGCCTTTCAATTGATTAACTTGGGTCAAACGTTTCAGGTAGCCTTCAACAAGCTTCCCACAATAAGTTGGGTGAATTTTAGCCGATTCCTCCTGACAGAGCTGGTGTAACTGAGTCAGGTTTGTACGCCTCCTTGCTTGCACACGCTTTTTCAGTTCTGCCCACACATGTTCTATAGGATTGAGGTCAGGGCTTTGTGATGGCCACTCCAATACCTTGACTTTGTTGTCCTTAAGCCATTTTGCCACAACTTTGGAAGTATGCTTGGGGTCACTGTCCATTTGGAAGACCCATTTGCGACCAAGTTTTAACTTCCTGACTGATGTCTTGAGATGTTGCTTCAATATATCCACATAATTTTCCTTCCTCATGATGCCATCTATTTTGTGAAGTGCACCAGTCCCACAGCATGATGCTGCCACCCCCGTGCTTCACGGTTGGGATGGTGTTCTTCGGCTTGCAAGCCTACCCCCTTTTCCCTCCAAACATAATGATGGTCCTTATGGCCAAACAGTTCTGTTTTTTTTTTTTTCATCAGACCAGAGGACAGCGAGTGACGTCACCGATTGAAATGCTACTAGCGCGCACCGCTAGCTAGCTAGCCATTTCACACCGGTTACATATGTAAACTTCTGACCCACTGGAATTGTGATACAGTGAATTATAAGTGAAATAATCTGTCTGTAAACAATTATTGGAAAAATTACTTGTGTCATGCAAAAAGTAGATGTCCTGAAAATGGTAAGCCCTGAAAATTGTTGTCTAGCAATGATCAACAACTAATTTGACAGAGCTTGAAGAATTTTGAAAATAATAATGGAAACATTTCATCACATTGCATACTGTCATCATACTTTGCCATGTAGATTATTGAACGATATGTGTGTGTGTACATGTATGTGAATATCTTCGTGAGTCTTTGTGTGTGTGTTAACGTGAGTCTGTGTGTGAGTGCCTGTGAGTTCTCGACAACAACACTACCAGTTTATTTTAAACATGAAAGTGAAATGAGGAACTGTGAAATTTCACTAAGAGGAGCATGTCAGAAGATATGTGTGTTGTGCCACCTGTTTCAAATGAGGAGCATATTCTCAGTGACAAGGGGTGTTTCTCAAAATGCATACTACCCTGCCTGAGCACGTAAATTGGAGCACGGGAAGGTCGAAGGATGAGTCCAAATCAAAGTATGTGAAACGGAGCCCGGAGGGCATTTCTCGAATGCGTACTCCGTTTGTACATACAGTTAAAGTCGGAAGTTTACATACACCTTAGCCAAATACATTTAAACTCAGTTTTTCACAATTCCTGACATTTAATCCTAGTAAAAATTCAAATTCTTAGGTCAGTTAGGATCACCACTTTATTTTAAGAATGTGAAATGTCAGAATAATAGTAGAGAGAATGATTTATTTCAGCTTTAATTTCTTTCATCACATTCCCAGTGGGTTAGAAGTTTACATACACTCAATGAGTATTTGGTAGCATTGCCTTTCAATTGTTTAACTTGGGTCAAACGTTTCAGGTAGCCTTCAACAAGCTTCCCACAATAAGTTGGGTGAATTTTGGCCGATTCCTCCTGACAGAGCTGGTGTAACTGAGTCAGGTTTGTACGCCTCCTTGCTCGCACACGCTTTTTCAGTTCTGCCCACACATTTTCTATAGGATTGAGGTCAGGGCTTTGTGATGGCCACTCCAATACCTTGACTTTGTTGTCCTTAAGCCATTTTGCCACAACTTTGGAAGTATGCTTGGGGTCACTGTCCATTTGGAAGACCCATTTGCGACCAAGTTTTAACTTCCTGACTGATGTCTTGAGATGTTGCTTCAATATATCCACATAATTTTCCTTCCTCATGATGCCATCTATTTTGTGAAGTGCACCAGTCCCACAGCATGATGCTGCCACCCCCGTGCTTCACGGTTGGGATGGTGTTCTTCGGCTTGCAAGCCTACCCCCTTTTCCTCCAAACATAATGATGGTCCTTATGGCCAAACAGTTCTGTTTTTTTTTTTTTCATCAGACCAGAGGACAGCGAGTGACGTCACCGATTGAAATGCTACTAGCGCGCACCGCTAGCTAGCTAGCCATTTCACACCGGTTACATATGTAAACTTCTGACCCACTGGAATTGTGATACAGTGAATTATAAGTGAAATAATCTGTCTGTAAACAATTATTGGAAAAATTACTTGTGTCATGCACAAAGTAGATGTCCTAACCGACTTGCCAAAACTATAGTTTGTTAACAAGAAATTTGCGGAGTGGTTGAAAAACGAGTTTTAATGACTCCAACCTAAGTGTATGTAAACTTCCGACTTCACCTGTATTTTGAAGCATGCAAGCTTCAACGGAAAGAATGCTCAGAAATATGATGCAACCATGTAAAAAATTTAGCTACATTTCTTGAAGTCAATGGCGGCCATTATTTGAGCTGATGCGAGAGAAAATACACTCCGACTTTGGAATGAAATGTTGCCTATTCGCATCTCATATGTTGCCTGACTGCAATATTTTATCTTGATATGTTTATAAATACATGCCGTGTTAATTTTGCCATGTTTACCTGTCTACAATACCCACTGTAGTGTGTGTAAATCGCAAACCCATAGCAAGTCAATAGGGTTAACTGGCTAGCCAGATATCCATGAAGAATTGTTAGCTAACCACAAAGACCATTAGTTTTAGGTCATTTTTGCCTGTTCAACTATCTGGTTAGCTACATTATTATGATTCACATAGAGCTAGCTGATAATTGTGAAGTAAAACGTTTGCTTTGTGTATATCTTGTTTGGCCTCTATTGCCATTGTCCTGGCTGGAAGAAAAGTTCAGAGAATGTGTAAATCCATAGTAAATCAATAGGGCTAACTGGCTAGCTAGCTAGCTACGTAGAATTGGTAGCTAGCTACCCATGGAAAATGTACATCTATCTTGTATAACATTAGTTTTAGGTCATTTTTGCCTGTTTAACTATCTGGCTAGCTAGATTATTATGATTCACATAGAGCTAGCTGATAATTGTGAAGTAAAACGTTTGCTTTGTGATATATTGTTTTGTCTCTATTGTTGCCATTGTCCTGGCTAGAAGAAGATTCAGTGAATGGGGATGTGCAGCGTGAGGTAATACAGAAGGGGGAGTGCGAACGCTTATCAAATGCAATGTTTTATACGTTCTCCACACTCTCGTCCTCACAAGAACCTACTCAAGAGAATGGTTTGCTAACATCAGCAAACCGCTCGCCCACACGACTCCATACACACTGTCTGCCATCTGCCCAGACCAGTTGAAACCGGGATTCATCCATGAAGAACACACTTCTCCAGTGGCCATCGAAGGTGAGCATTTTCCCACTGAAGTCAGTTACAACGCCAAACTGCAGTCAGGTCAAGACCCTGGTGAGGACAACGAGCATGCAGATTAGCTTCCCTGAGACGGTTTCTGACAGTTTGTGCAGACATTCTTCGGTTGTGTAAACCCACAGTTTTATCAGCTGTCCGGGTGACTGGTCTCAGACCATCCCGCCGGTGAAGAAGCTGGATGTGGAGTTCCTGGGCTGGTGTGGTTACACATGGCCTGCAGTTGTGAGGCCGGTTGGACGTACTGCCAAATTTTCTAAAACGACGTTGGAAGCAGTTTATGGTAGAGAAATGAACATTCAATTCTCTAGCAACAGCTCTGGTGGAGATTCCTGGCAGCGATAACAGTGTGCAACAGTTTGTCTTGAACCTTCTTCTTCTATGGTATAATGGCGTTGGCAACAATTGGATGTGCATTCCACCACCTACTGTGCAGGTGGATAACAAGGATCCCAAAAAGGAAAATAAATAAATAAAATATCATACAAACTACCAAAAAAGAAATTAACTAAACAAAATCAACCTGCTTTTCTGTAATAATAAACTAATTCTAATCAGGTCCCAACACAGGCTCAGAAGTGGCAGAGGGCGGGACATTTCCTAGCGACAATAGTCCTTGTAGTGCTTCTGCCGTGAAGTCTTGGAGCCCCAAAAACTTCTCAGCAGCAGATATAATGATATCCATCTTCTTGGACTTCTTAGACACTTGTGCTGTACAATTAATCACTGTGGCTATAAATGCCACAAAATCCACCTTCTTCACAATGAGTGTATCCAGATCACCCGATGGACTTAAAACACTAGCAACTGGTTGCAATGCATCCATAGCCATATCTTCAACACTGTTGCCTCTTGCCCCTTAGACTCTCTTCACCGCCTCCACATAGGAGATCCGCTGCGCAGCCCTGATCCTTGACACCTCGATCTCCTTCACCCTAACAGGGCACTCAAGGAAGTCCGGAGTATGATACCCACCATAGTTGCAATACTTTCCATTCACAGATTCCTCAATATCATACTTCTGTAATGGTTTGGACACAAATGCTCTCATGACATACCTCACATATCCAAGCTTCATATATTCAGGTAGAGTCTCCTCAAACGACAATAATATCGACTGGCTTTTCTCCTTCCTTCCATTTACCATACGGGTCAGGCGACGTGTACTGACCACTCCTGGGATATTTTCCATTCATTATCACACACTTCACTTGCTGCACTTTCGGATTCAAGCACAGTTGCCATGCCACTGCCGTGACAAAACTGCACATTTGTGGCCTTTTATTGTCCCCAGCACAAGGTGCACCTGGGTAATGATCATGCTGTTTCATCAGCTTCTTGATATGCCACACCTGTCAGGTGGATGGGTTATCTTGGCAAAGGAAAAATGCTCACTAACAGGGATGTAAACACATTTGTGGACAAAATTTGAGATAAATAAGCTTTTTGTGCATATGGAACATTTCTGTGATCTTTTATTTCAACTCATGAAACATGGGACCAACACTTTACATGTTGCGTTTATATTTTCGTTCACTATAGAACAGATATGATATTCAGTCAATCAGAATTCAATTACAGACATGCCACCAGAGGTCTCTTCACAATCCCAAAGTCCAGTGCAGACTATGGGAGGCGCACTGTACTACATAAAGCCATGGCTACATGGAACTCTATTCCACATCAGGTAACTAATGCTAGCAGTAGAGACACACAGGCACAGACACATTATATATAGTCTCGCTACTGTTATTTTACTGATGCTCTTTAATTATTTGTTAATTTTATTTATTTATTTATTTTAATTTTAAAAAAGTGTTGTTGTTTTTTTAAACTTATTTATTTTTTACTTAACACTTATTTTTCTTAAAACTGAATTGTTGGTTAAGGCCTTGTAAGTAAGCATTTCACTGTAAGGTCTACTACACCTGTTGTAGTCGGCGCATGTGACAAATAACATTGGATTTGATTTGATATCACACGCACTCTACACACACCTACACATGGATTTTGTATTGTAGATATGTGGTAGATATGTCATGTAATATTTTGTACTGTATGTAACTGCCTTAATGTTGCAGGACCCCAGGAAGAGTAGCTGCTCCCTTGGCAGCAGCTCATTTGGATCCTTAATAAATACAAATACAAATTACATTTCTATCCGCAATGTTCTGAACATAGAGATCCTGTATTCTAATTCTATGGTTCTGAATGTTTCACCTCACTGAATACACCCCAGATGTTATGTCTCAGGAGCCTTGGCCCAAGTCTATTGTGATGCTGCGGCCTGTTTTGCTGCCTGGGGTAAAGTCGGTTTTCTCAGTGTGATGTGATACTGATGCCTTGCTAACTGTTTTCTCGTGCTGAGCGCTTAATTAAATCGTTTTTTAATTAATATTATTATTATTAAACAACTAATTGACAGACGCCGGTTCAATTACTTGAATTCCATTTAGTTTGTAATTTTTTTGCGCCGTTTCTCTAGATATAAATAGTTTTCAATAGGAAAATGAGGCAAAGAACCAATGGGTGTGCCAATATATAACACTATTCACTTGCTTTGGTCTGTTACAGTCATTGCAGGAAGTCCTGAAGAGCTGGAGTGTGTATGAAGGGTGTTGTCCCATTCCAGCTCTAACACCTGGCGTAAATAATCAACTTAACGAGTCACGGTTATAGGCTAAGATTTGTAATCAGGTATGAGCTGGGCAGGAACAAAAGCTTATACACTCCTGCCATTCAGATTTGAGATGTCCACCCATTTAAGAGATTATTCTGTACTATGGGTACAATTTGCTTTTGGGGAGGGGGATTCATTTTGATGGTGTTGCTATATAATACATGTCACACTCAAGTTGAAGTTGAACTTGTTGACTGATGCCAAGCTGGCAGCTGCTAAGGGCGCAGCTGCGACTAGAAGACTGCAGCCAAGGCAGCACTGGTCCACACCTGCCCTGTCTGTCGAAATGAGTAGTATTGGTTAGGTACTGCATGTGCCTTTAGGTTCCTCTCCATGTGTAGGATATGGTATGGCCTGTGTGGTTCAGTCTTTCATATGTGTAGTAGTATGAAAAATGTATGCACTCACTAACTGTAAGTCACTCTGGATAAGAGCGTCTGCTAAATGACTAAAATTTAAATGTAAAATGAAAATATTCAACCTAGTTCAGCGCAGAAAACGTGGTAATGAACTACAATGACCAGAATCCATTGCGCCTATTCTTCCCAGCACCGCACACAGCATGAGAGAGGAATGTAAACAACACAATGACGAGAGGGATAGAGACAGTTCGTGAGGTAGCTCTAGTGGATTGATAGTTGTAGCAGTCTTGAAAGTATGCCTTCACTACTTTGAAGAACTACTCAAATATTGATTTCGTCAGACAGCTCTGCAGCATGGGCAGCTGTTGCAACCCAATGATCACTGGCTATCCTTTTCGCTAGCCAAGAGCACAGATATAATGTTAGATTGTGTGGGGGGATCTATTTTCTTATAACTAGATGTGATGCCTAGCTTAGAAAGAATGCATTAATGATTAAACATAATAGGTTTGTACTGTACTGATATAAATTGTTTAACATAACAAGCTGTGATTCATGGGAGGAATGTTAGGGAGTAGGGTGAGACAGACTTGTGATTCTCACAGACACATACACAGTGCCTCTTTGTTAAACCGCGCTCAAGGACATGTGTTCTGCTACAGTTGAGAGGAACAGACTATGTCTGAAGTTGCAAAACAACTAAACACCTGGCAACAGTGAAGCGCCAAGGGGCTGGGACCAGCCTGTGCGCCAACGATAGGCTGAGTAAGTCTAAACCACGCTCAGTCTCGACTCTGATTGGCCAGCAGGGAGCGTGAACTATCTCTGTCAGAGTATTTGGAGAAGAACTTAGAACAATGGATCAGTTCTCTGAGTGCCCTGCGTGGTATTTCAGTGGACCCATATATATACGAACATCATATTTACCATTGAAGTGTTTTGCATTAATTAAAATACTAGTCTATTTTAGAAGACGTGTATTGACCTCTTTTGTTCCTAATACCAGATTTGAATTGACACAATTTAACAATTGGTCGATGGTTGTCTGGCTGCTACTGCCTGAGAGATGAGATTATGACTTTAAGAAATAAAATAATAAAGTAATAAAATAAAAAAGTAATATGCTATATTCACACACACAGTGGCAAAACCTCCCTCACACAGACACCGTGTTAAGACCACGCTCACACACACGCTGAAAAGACGACCCTCACACAGACACCGTGTTAAGACCACGCTCACACACACGGTGGCAAGACAATGCTCACACACGTGCATGTGTGTGAGCGTGCGCGTGTGTGAAAAACAGCTCATGGCACAAATGTGGAGGCAGCAGAATAACAATAGTACAATAAAATAACTAAATGAACATTAGAGACATTGTTTATGGACCACTAAATGATACAAGCTAACAATCTTAGCTAAGGTCTTTGCGCAGTGTCTGCCCCAGAGAAATATCCTGCTCTGTAGCACAACCTTGAGGTAACCAACTCGAAGGAAATCTGTGCATGATGACGGCTTGAACGTTCAAAAGAAAATTCAACCGACTACTTTTTACCTACCTACCACTTTATTCCTTATAAATAAGATATTTTAGGATCAGTGTAAGGTTTATGGCCAAACGTATCATGTTGTCAAATAGGAGGCATCTTGTGGTAGAATATATTTAATGAAAAGGAAGATATTCAGGTTGGTTAATAGTCACATGTACTTGGTCAGTGCATACAGACACCTGTTCAAACATTACACATCCTTCATCACACACCAACACTATAGGGCGGCACACAATTGGCCCAGCGTCGTCCTGGTTTGGCCGGTGTAGGCCGTCATTGTAAATAAGAATTTGTTCTTAACTGACATGCCTAGTTAAATAAAGGTTAAAAAAAAAAAAAAAAAAAAAAAAAAAAAAACACTGTAGGCTACAGTGAGGGAAAAAAGTATTTGATCCCCTGCTGATTTTGTACGTTTGCCCACTGACAAAGACATGATCAGTCTATAATTTTAATGGTAGGTTTATTTGAACAGTGAGAGACAGAATAACAACAAAAAAAATCCAGAAAAACGCATGTCAAAAATGTTATAAATTGATTTGCATTTTAATGAGGGAAATAAGTATTTGACCCCTCTGCAAAACATGACTTAGTACTTGGTGACAAAACCCTTGTTGGCAATCACAGAGGTCAGACGTTTCTTGTAGTTGGCCACCAGTTTGCACACATCTCAGGAGGGATTTTGTCCCACTCCTCTTTGCAGATCTTCTCCAAGTCATTAAGGTTTTGAGGCTGACGTTTGGCAACTCGAACCTTCAGCTCCCTCCACAGATGTTCTATGGGATTAAGGTCTGGAGACTAGCTAGGCCATTCCAGGACCTTAATGTGCTTCTTCTTGAGCCACTCCTTTGTTGCCTTGGCCGTCTGTTTTGGGTCATTGTCATGCTGGAATACCCATCCACGACCCATTTTCAATGCCCTGGCTGAGGGAAGGAGGTTCTCACCCAAGATTTGACGGTACATGGCCCCGTCCATCGTCCCTTTGATGCGGTGAAGTTTTCCTGTCCCCTTAGCAGAAAAACACCCCCAAAGCATAATGTTTCCACCTCCATGTTTGACGGTGGGGATGGTGTTCTTGGGGTCATAGGCAGCATTCCTCCTCCTCCAAACACTGCGAGTTGAGTTGATGGCAAAGAGCTCGATTTTGGTCTCATCTGACCACAACACTTTCACAGTTAGTGAGCGCATACATTATTTTTTTATTTTTCATATTGTCCCCCCATGGGAATCGAACCCACAACCCTGGCGTTGCAAACGCCATGCTCTACCAACTGAGCTACATCCCTGCCGGCCATTCCCTCCCCTACCCTGGACGATGCTGGACCAATTGTGCGCCGCCCCATGGGTCTCCCAGCTACAACAGAGCCAGGATTCGAACCAGGAACTCTAGTGGCAGACCCTGACATCCTTGGAGAGCTCTTTGGTCTTGGCCATGGTGGAGAGTTTGGAATCTGATTGATTGATTGCTTCTGTGGACAGGTGTCTTTTAAACAGGTAACAAGCTGAGATTAGGAGCACTCCCTTTAAGAGTGTGCTCCTAATCTCAGCTCGTTACCTGTATAAAAGACACCTGGGAGCCAGAAATCTTTCTGATTGAGAGGGGGTCAAATACTTATTTCCCTCATTAAAATGCAAATCAATTTATAACATTTTTGACATGTGTTTTTCTGGATTTTTTTGTTGTTATTCTGTCTCTCACTGTTCAAATAAACCTACCATTAAAATGATAGACTGATCATTTCTTTGTCAGTGGGCAAACGTACAAAATCAGCAGGGGATCAAATACTTTTTTCCCTCACTGTACATCCAAAGCCCAAAACAAATACTTTAAAAATATAAGTATACAAACATCTCTGTAAAACAACAATGTTAATATACTTCATTGCTTTGCAGTACAGTAATATAAACAGCAGAATCAGCAATAAAACACACAAAGAGAAGGGTACAGCAGAGAGCTTTATCCTAGGTGGTGTAAGCAAGCTAAAATATGTATTCTGTTGCACATTTTCTCCATCAATCCAACCAGTGCGTGTGTGTGTGTTCATGTGCGTGTGCATGTGCATGTGCGTGTGCGTGTGCGCTATACCCTCAGATCATGAAGGCCTGGGTGTGTTTGTAGTTCTTGGGCTGCTGAAAGGGAAAGGAGTATCCATCTGTTAACTAGACTGGTTACTATTATCAACAACTCACTTAACAACTCAGGCTTATCAACACACTGGTGTGGTCAACAACTGCTCAAAGAACAGCCCAATTTAAAACAAGACCAGTGCTCAACTAAGCTAATACTGACAGTAGAAGGAATAACAGTTCCTGATCAACAACAACTGGGAATGAGAACACACTCACTTTTCTGGTGGGAGGAGGGGGTGGACAGTAGGAGTTGGTGCAACAAAAAACAAAGAGACAAACACCACAATAAATTACTTTATTTTTCTGTTTTTTTAAAGAAGAGTTATGACATTGAGCGTCTCAGCCATGTATATCAGTGGAGGCAGCTGAGGGGAGGACAGCTCATAATAATAGCTGGAACGGAGTGAATGGAATGGCATCAAACACCTGGAAAGCATATGTTTGATATATTTGATACCATTCTACTAATTCCGCTCCAGCCATTACCATGAGCCCGTCCTCCCCAATTAAGGTGCCACCAACCTCCTGTGATATACAGTGGGGGAAAAAAGTATTTAGTCAGCCACCAATTGTGCAAGTTCTCCCACTTAAAAAAGATGAGAGAGGCCTGTAATTTTCATCATAGGTACACGTCAACTATGACAGACAAAATGAGAAAAAAAAATCCAGAAAATCACATTGTAGGATTTTTAATGAATTTATTTGCAAATTATGTTGGAAAATAAGTATTTGGTCAATAACAAAAGTTTCTCAATACTTTGTTATATACCCTTTGTTGGCAATGACACAGGTCAAACATTTTCTGTAAGTCTTCACAAGGTTTTCACACACTGTTGCTGGTATTTTGGCCCATTCCATTTACATTTTAGTCATTTAGCAGACGCTCTTATCCAGAGCGACTTACAGTTAGTGAGTGCATACATTATTTATTATTTATTTTTCATGCTGGCCCCCCATGGGAATCGAACCCACAACCCTGGCGTTGCAAACGCCATGCTCTACCAACTAAGCTACCTCCCTGCCGGCCATTCCCTCCCCTACCCTGGACGACGCTGGGCCAATTATGCGCCGCCCCATGGGTCTCCCGGTCGCGGCCGGCTACGACAGAGCCTGAATTCGAACCAGGATCTCTAGTGGCACAGCTAGCACTGCGATGCAGTGCCTTAGACCACTGCGCCACTCGGATCTCCTCTAGAGCAGTGATGTTTTGGGGCTGTTGCTGGGCAACACAGACTTTCAACTCCCTCCAAAGATTTTATATGGGGTTGAGATCTGGAGACTGGCTAGGCCACTCCAGGACCTTGAAGTGCTTCTTACGAAGCCACTCCTTCGTTGCCCGGGCGGTGTGTTTGGGATCATTGTCATGCTGAAAGACCCAGCCACGTTTCATCTTCAATGCCCTTGCTGATGGAAGGAGGTTTTCACTCAAAATCTCACGATACATGGCCCCATTCATTCTTTCCTTTACATGGATCAGTCGTCCTGGTCCCTTTGCAGAAGAACAGCCCCAAAGCATGATGTTTCCACCCCCATGCTTCACAGTAGGTATGGTGTTCTTTGGATGCAACTCAGCATTCTTTGTCCTCCAAACACGACGAGTTGAGTTTTTACCAAAAAGTTCTATTTTGGTTTCATCTGACCATATGACATTCTCCCAATCCTCTTCTGGATCATCCAAATGCACTCTAGCAAACTTCAGACGGGCCTGGACATGTACTGGCTTAAGCAGGGGGACACGTCTGGCACTGCAGGATTTGAGTCCCTGGCGGCGTAGTGTGTTACTGATGGTAGGCTTTGTTACTTTGGTCCCAGCTCTCTGCAGGTCATTCACTAGGTCCCCCTGTGTGGTTCTGGGATTTTTGCTCACCGTTCTTGTGATCATTTTGACCCCACGGGGTGAGATCTTGCGTGGAGCCCCAGATCGAGGGAGATTATCAGTGGTCTTGTATGTCTTCCATTTCCTAATAATTGCTCCCACAGTTGATTTCTTCAAACCAAGCTGCTTACCTATTGCAGATTCAGTCTTCCCAGCCTGGTACAGGTCTACAATTTTGTTTCTGGTGTCCTTTGACAGTTCTTTGGTCTTGGCCTTAGTGGAGTTTGGAGTGTGACTGTTTGAGGTTGTGGACAGGTGTCTTTTATACTGATAACAAATTCAAACAGGTGCCATTAATACAGGCAACGAGTGGAGGACAGAGGAGCCTCTTAAAGAAGAAGTTACAGGTCTGTGAGAGCCAAAAATCTTGCTTGTTTGTAGGTGACCAAATACTTATTTTCCACCATAATTTGCAAAAAAATTCATTAAAAATCCTACAATGTGATTTTCTGGATTTATTTTCTCTCAATTTGTCTGTCATAGTTGACGTGTACCTGTGATGACAATTACAGGCCTCTCTCATCTTTTTAAGTGGGAGAACTTGCACAATTGGTGGCTGACTAAATACTTTTTTTCCCCACTGTATATATATATATATATACAAAATAGTCAGCCACAAGCTCAAATAGACTGTGTAGTGAAGTACTCACTCTTTTTGCAGCAGCCCTGTCGATGGGAGACACACATCCAGGCAACACATGAGGATGACCAGGAAGAGACCTACAGCTCCGGCTATCAGCGTCGTCATACTCAACGGATCTGAAGGAGGGGGAACGGAGGGAGAGAGGGATAAAGAGAGGAAAAGAAAAGACAGAAAGGGTTCCAATTTCTATAACCCCGCCCCCCCCCCCCCCCACGCTTTTTCAACGCCCCCACGCTATTGGAGACCTCACAGCGGTACTGGCCCGAGTCGGCTGTGGACACACTCTTAATCTTCTGCTCCGGAGACACACAGAGAGAGGAGAGAGGGAGGTGAGGACAGAGAATGGAGAGAGAGGGGGTGAGGGAGGACAGAGAGAGGAGAGAGGTGAGGACAGAGAGAGGAGGTGAGCACAGAGATAGGTGAAGACAGAGAGAGGAGAGAGGGGGTGAAGACAGAGAGAGGAGAGAGGAGGTGAGGACAGAGAGAGGAGAGAGGGTTGAGGGCAGAGAGAGGGGGGTGGGGACAGAGAGAGGAGGTGAGGACAGAGAGGAGAGAAGGGTTAGGACAGAGAGAGAAGAGAGGAGGTGAGGACAAATAGAGGAGAGAGGGGGTGAGGACAGCGAGAGGAGAGAGGAGGTGAGGACAGAGAGAGGAGGTGAGGACAGAGAGGCGAGAAGGGTTAGGACAGAGAGAGGAAAGAGGGGGTGAGGACAGAGGAGAGAGGGGACAGAGAGAGGAGAGACATGGTGAGGACAGAGAGACGAGAGAGGGGTGAGGACAGAGAAGGAGGTGAGCACAGAGAGAGGAGAAAGTGGGTGAGGACGGGTTGAGGACAGAGGGAGGGTGTATAGTGTGATATAACGGCATTAACATGCCTTTGATAAGGCATCTGAACCACCTCCAGAACGTGTTACTCACCAGTGTTCCCTTGTCAGTGTCCATGCTATAGGAGATGTCAGGTGTGTGTGTGGTGCTCGGGGCCTTGTTGTCTTTGTACCAGAGGTAGGTAGGAGGGGGCACACTGAGTTTGTCCTTACAGTGGAGCTCTACTCCTGCCCCAGACAGCACTGAGCTGGGCACCTCACAGGATGGGGTGTGGGGGATAACTGGGGGAGGAGGACAGGATTATCAACACACACACACACAGTGATTAACACGTAATGGAGGTAGTTCAGATGCCTTATCAAAGGCATGTTAATGGCGTTATATCTCTCCTCTCTCTGTCCCCTCCTCCTCTCTCTTTGTCCTCCCTCTTCTGTGTCCTCACCCCTTCTCTCCTCACTCTGTCCTCACTCCTCTCTCCTCTCTCTGTCCTCACTCCTCACCTCCTCTCTCTGTCCTCACCCCTCTCTTCTCTCAGTCCTCACCCCTCTCTTCACTCTGTCCTCACCTCTCTCCTCTGTCTGTCACTTTAATAATGGAACACTAGTCACTTTAATAATCTTTACATACTGTTTAACTCACTTCATATGTACATACTGTATTCTACTGTATTTTAGTCAATGCCACTCCGACATTGCTCGTCCTAATATTTATATATTTCTTAATTCCATTATTTTACTTTTAGATTTGTGTGTATTGTTGTGAATTGTTAGATACTACTGCACTGTTAGAGCTAGGAACACAAGCATTCCACTACACCCGCAATAACATCTGCTAAATATGTGTATGTGACCAATACAATTTGATTTGATTTGATTTGACAACACACAAGACAACTGTGTGGCTCAGTTAGTCGAGCATTGCGCTTGCAACACCAGGGTTATGGGTTCGATTCCAACTGGGGAACAGTACGATAATAATAAAAGTATGACAATATATGCACTCACTGCTGTAAGTTGCCCTGGATAAGAATGTCTGTTAAATGACTAAAATATAAAGGCACATGGTGGGTTACATTGTTGGACATTGTTACTAACACACACACAGTAGCTCACCCAGTACGTTGAGGGTGACATTGACCTCTCCCAGGTTGGTGTGGTCTGCTGGTGCGCTGACCTCACAGCGGTACAGCCCAGAGTCCTTCTGGGTAATGGCATGCAGCGTCACCGTTGCCCCCTCGATCTTGGCCCGACCTGCAAAGGATCCTGGAATACCACAAGGGTCAAGGGTTGTAGAGGGAGGAAAGAGATAAGAAACATGTGAAGAGGGGGAGATATGGAGGAGAGGTAGGGGAAACGGGATAGAGGGAGATCTAGCAGTCACGGGTGAATTTTCCATCGAAATAAACAAAGTTGATGTCCTTCCTTTTCTGCTTCCACTCTATACGAGGGTTAGTCTCCTTCTCTGTCTTGAACTGACAGGACAGCACAGCGTCTGGCAGAGAGAGAGAGAGATGTACAAAAACAGTTCATGAACCATCACAATTCTTCCATTCTCCTCCTCCTCTCTTACCTGTGTTCTCATGGACCTCCATTTTGGCCCTGTACTGGTGCTCACCTGTCAAAAGTGAGGGGAGGCAGGAACCTGAGATAGAGAGAGAAGAGAGAGAGAGAGAGAGAGGGAGAGAGAGAGAGAAGAGAGAGGACAGATGAGAGAGAGATGAGAGATAGATAGTATAGGAAGAATGAGACCGCAGAAGAAGGATCTATCTCTCTTACTCTCTTCTCTATTCTCGGCTATCTCTCTCGATCTCTCTATCTCTCTCTCGTCTCTTTCTTGCCGCTTCTCTATCTCGATCTCTCTCTCTCTACTCTCTCTCTCTTCTACTGCTCTCTCTCTGCAGAGAGAGACAGAGAGGTGATTCACAAGTAAATAGTACACACAGCAGCACTAAAAGTTAACTATTTGTAGCAATGTTTCTAACTTTCTTAAATGCAAAGTTAAACATTGATTAAACTGATAGTTGTGCTATACAGTCCAGATTGGGCTGAGGGGGGTACTTCAGAAGGTATTTGTTTGAGAAAGAGCAGACACACACCCAGACACAGACAAACAGACAGACACACACACACACACACACACAGAGGCAGTGTAAACTCCCAGTATGTTCAGTATACAATAGCATATGAATACACACTGCTGAAACAACATGCAAAGTATACATATAACAAAAAATGGTGGGACCAACATCAATAAGGCATCAATAATAATAGTAGTAGTGGAAATGGGATTACCATTAACAGCAACTACAACAACAATATTAATGAGGGGTGTCAAACGTCTGGCCCGCGGGCCGGATCAGGCCCGCAAACGGGTTTAATCCGGCCCGCGAGATGATAAAAAAAAAAAAAATAAAATAATAATAATAATAATAATAATAATTTTGTAAAGTATAAAAATGCGCTGCAATTTTTCAATAAAATAAACTGCTGTTCCAATTGCGTCCACTGGATGGCGCAATAGCGATTGTGTTAAGCAAGCAAACTGTTTATACCGGGGCAGAGCAAGTAGGTCAAGCACGTGCAGCCAATGAGCTACTTTGTTTTGCCCGCAATATTTATTATGGCTTCTACTTTTAACATTATGTGCTTTGGCACCCTCATTGCCCCAATATGTCTCTGTCAAAAAAGAGAAAAGTGGACGCAGAGTGCAGAGTGTTCCAAGAAAAATGGTCATCCTATTTTTTCACGGAATTGAATGGGAAAGCTGTATGTTTGGTGTGTTCAGAGCATGTTGCAGTGCTGAAAGAATATAACCTTCGTCGCCACTATGTGAGTCTTCATGCCGACAAATATGACAACTTTCAAGGACAGCGGAGATGAGAGAAGGTGAATGAACTGTTGGCGGGTCTGAAGAAACAGCAGTCTGTGTTTACTCACAGCCGAGACATCAGTGACGCTGCAGTGAAAGCTAGCTACCTCATTGCTAATGAAATCGCAGTGGCTTCAAAACCATTTAGTGAGGGTGAATTTGTAAAAACATTCATGATGAAGGCAGCGGAGATTGTGTGCCCTGAAAAGCGGCAGGCTTTTGCAAATATCAGCCTGACAAGAAACACAGTTGCAGACAGGATTTCCGATCTTTCAGTGGATTTGGACAGCCAGTTGAAGCAAAAAGTAAAGTCATTTATTGCGTTTTCGGTTGCAATTGATGAAAGCACGGACATTACAGATGTTGCACAACTGGCCATTTTCATCCGCGGAGTTGATGACACATTGACCATTACCGAGGAGTTCGTGGAGTTGTTGCCGATGACAGATACAACGACAGCAGCTGATATTTTTACCGCACTCGTCGGCGCGCTAGACAGGGTCGGAGTGGACTGGTCCCGCGCTGTCAGCCTGGCTACAGATGGTGCGCCCTCAATGATCGGGAAAAAAGCAGACGTTGTGACAAAGTTCAGAGAGAAAGTGCAATCTGCAAATGGAGGACGTGATTTTTTTACTTTTCACTGTATTTTGCACCAGGAGGCTTTGTGTTGCAAGTCATTAAAGATGGATAACGTCATGAAGGTGGTCATCCAAACTGTTAATTTCATCCGATCCAGAAGCCTGAATCACCGTCAGTTTGACAGCCTTCTCAGAGAGAAAGACCACATCTATGGCCTGCCATACCACACTGAGGTAAGATGGTTAAGCCGAGGTGCTGTGCTGAGGCGTTTCTTTGATTTACGAGAAGAAATTGAACAGTTCATGGAAGAAAAGGGCAAACCAGTGTTAGAATTTCATTCCGCAGAATGGATGCAGGACCTTGCATTTATGGTGGATGTTACAGAGCACCTGAATAACTTGAACAAACAGCTGCAAGGGCGCAACAAAGTTGTCACGCAGTATTATGACAGCATACGTTCTTTCAAGTTGAAGCTGTCATTGTGGGAGACGCAACTTGCCGGTGGTGATGCAGCTCACTTCCCCTGTCTGAAAAATGTGTGCGCGACCCAACATGTGGCAGACATGAAGCGGTTCAAAGATAAAATAACGGGACTGTTACGGGAGTTTGAGCAACGCTTTCAGATTTATGTTTATATGTTTTTATGTTGATGTGCTATTGTTTTTAATTGATTTTATTTTATTTGTATATTTAACCTATTCTTGACTCTGTGGTTCTTGCACTTGTTTGGGGAACAGGATTTCATTATTTTTATCTACATTTCTGCCTGAGAAATGACACCCTGATATAGTTCTGTGATCTGTGAAACAGTTCTGTTAATCACTGAGGCATTGTGTGTTTGTGTGTTCTTTGTCCTCAGAACTTTCAAATAACTTGAGGTCTTTTATGATTAATAGTGATGTTGTGCTTTTGGACACTGTCCTCAGGCTCCAGCTTTATGTTTATATGTTTTTATGTTGATGTGCTATTGTTTTTTAATTGATTTTATTTTATTTGTATATTTAACCTATTCTTGACTCTGTGGTTCTTGCACTTGTTTGGGGAACAGGATTTCATTCTTTTTATCTATATTTCTGCCTGAGAAATGACACCCTGATATAGTTCTGTGTTCTGTGAAACAGTTCTGTTAATCACTGAGGCATTGTGTGTTTGTGTGTTCTTTTTCTTTAGAATTTTCAAATAAACTTGACGTGTTTTATGATTAATAGTGATGTTGTGCTTGTACTATTTTGGACACACTGTCCTCAGGCTCCAGCTTTATGTTGTATGTTGATCGTATTAAAACAAAGAAAACAATCTGAAGTTGTTGTTTTTAAGTTATATATACCATGATTTTTCCGGTCCGGCCCACTTGGGAATAGATTTTCCTCCATGTGGCCCCTGAGCTAAAATGAGTTTGACACCCCTGCATTAAAGCAATAGTAGTAGACCAGTCTCAACATGACTGAGAAGCCACATGACATGGTATGAAAGACAAAACTAAACCAAAATGGGATCTCGCACTCTTACACACACACACACACACACACACACACACACACACACACACACACACACACACACACACACACACACACACACACACACACACACACACACACGCACACACACGCACGCACACGCACGCACATGCCAGTCATCCTTTAACCTATCTGTAATGGCTGATAATATTACATAATATTTGTTTGGACCAGTGAACAGTGGCTTTTCGGAAGAACAGCCTCAAACACTACAACCATCCCAATTAGCAACTGATTTATTAATCTCTGGCCAATTAGCAGCAGGGTCATAGCGGTGCTATCGACAACATTAAACAGGGAGATCAGCCTGCCTGCGCTAAGCATCAGAGAGGTTCGCTCTCCAGAGCCCTGAAGCCCCTTAGAGATCTGGCCTTTCATCAGCCTTTGGATCTCTGGATCTCTGGGTCTCTGGATCTCTGGATCTCTGGGTCTCTGGATCTCTGGATCTCTGGGTCTCTGGATCTCTGGGTCTCTGGATCTCTGGGTCTCTGGATCTCTGGGTCTCTGGGCTTGGAGAGCATTGGAGGGTTTAATGTAAATTGAAGATCTGTATGGTCCCAGTCCTCCCAACCAAAATGCACGCCCCTAAACACATTACACACTACACACACACACACTTCACCAAACTGTTTAAAGTGTGTTCAGAAACGTACAATACATACATAGTCTGCATACACACACACACAGACATACAGACGCATGTGCACACACACACACACAGCTTGAGAGGCGCTGATGCAGTGCATGATGGGAATACCAGAAATATGATAAATATTTAGCCTGACGTGCAAACTGCCTCTTAACTTAATGTCATTACACAAAAAATATATATTTTGCAATTTAAAAATCAAACATCTAAAATCATCACACATCAACACTATGACATATATGGTGCTATTGAATACTACTATGCTGCATTAGTCATGTATGAAGGCTATAGTATGTATGACTGTTCATTGACTACCCATGAAATCATATTTTTTGACAAAATATCCATTAGGCATAATTCAGAAAATAAAAGGCTGCATCTCTCTCTACTCACTCTGCAACAAGAGGAGAAGGGTAAAGGACTAAATCCCCATGCTGTCCATAGCTCTTCCACACGACTGAGCAGTGTCCAGTGAACTGAAATCTCCTGGAAATGCCCTTGAGTGTCTGAGAACACACGCTCCACACGAGACTGATGAAATTCCAGACTTTGAGAAGTTCTTGAAGTTTTCCATGTGCGCGCTCCCGATGGAGACCATCTCATCTAGTGGAGCAACTCAGGTGCGCGCTCACCATGAAACATGCGTCTGTGGTTCGTGGTGGGCAAACGTTTTGTTCTCGAAGAGGATGTTACCGCACATGTATCTAATGTGTATGTCGGCCAACGTATGCGTAGGCTGTAAACAGTTATAAACAATGTTATTAACGGGACAAATTATAAACTATCACAACCCACCACACAGCAAACACAGAACCACCACACAACGTTGCATCAAAATTGTGGATCTTGATGTGCCATTGTCACTATCATAGT